ATGGAAATCCAAAATCTCTGTAAATGTTTATTAAAATTAATAAAAACGGGAAAAAAATACTTTACCCTTGGTCTGTAATACTAGTCCATGGCAATTACTCTTTAATTATTGTTATTATTGTTGTTAGATGCCACTGAGTGAACTACAACTCATACGACCCTCTGAACAACAGATCAGAGCCCTGCCCTGTCCTGTGCCCTCTTCACCAGCTCTGATATGCTGGAGCCTGTTGTTACAGTCACTGTGCCAACCCATCTCACGGAATGTCTTCCTGTCTTCCCTCGACTTTTCCCAGCACAGTATCTTCTCCCAAGAACTGGCTGCGTCCTGAGAACGTGTTGTAAGCATGTGAGAGGAAGTCCGACCAACCTCGCCTGCAAGGAGCTCACGGTTGAACTTCCTCCAACACAGACTTGTTTGCTTTCTTGGCAGCGCCCAGAACATTCGACGCTCTTTGCCAACACCACGATTCAAAGGCATTGATGTTTCTTATGTCTTCCTTACTCATTCCCCAGCTTTCAGATGCACGTGACGGAATTGAAAATACCACACCTTGGATCAGGCACACCTTAGCCTTTAAGCAAAAGCGCTTGGTCACAGAAATGAGGCTAGAGCTAAAATAATAGCATTTTTACCATCACTGATGTATTCATTGCAAATACCTTTTATTAGAAGCACTAATGGCAACTATCCACATGGGTTTCACCTGATGGTATGCTTAGGAATCAGATCAATTACTTCTGTAGAAAGAATCAGTGGAGAAGCTCAATATCAGCTGTGGAAACTAGACCAGGTGCTGATTGTGGAGCAGACCCCCAACTACACATATGCAAGGTCAAACTGAAACTGAGGAAAATGAAAACAGACCCTCAAGAACCAGAATGTGCCCTTGAGACTGTCCCATCTGAATTTAAAAACCATCTCAAGAAGAGGTTTGAGGACTTGAACACAAATGAGCGAAGACCAGATGAGCTGCGGGAGGATTGAAAGAATAACATCCATGAAGCTAAGTACAACACTTTAAAAACTGACTGTTACACTTTAAAGTTTGAATGTTGAGGACATGTTAAGATTATGAGTCTAGAAACACTCCGTGGCTCCTGGGGAGAAAGACTGAGCAGTCCGCTCCCTTGTAGAAGGCCCTGTGGGAATTTTATTTTGCCACATATGGTTGCTAAGAGCTGACAAAGACTCATTGGCTCCTAACAACAGTTACTGAAAAGCTTGACCAAATGGCCTCAAATGCCAGCTCCAACTGGCCTTACTTAGCTCTCTCATCTTTAAAACAGAAAAAAGTCTACTTGTATTGAGGGATTGCAGTGAGTGTCCTGACTATTTCTGGCACACAGAAGATACTCAGTTCAAAATTATTGAATGAAACAAGCGAGCGCATTCATCCAGCAAACAAACACCTCCCAAATCTGAGTAGGGGGCGTCAGATGGTACCAAGATGAAGACAACGTGAGGTACCATTAAGGATTAAGTTGTACCCTGCCCTAATACGTGTTGAAGTCCTAACCTCCAGCCCTGGGAATGTAATCTTGATTGGAAGTAATGACTTCTCTGTCCTTAAATCTATTGTGTACTAGGAGGGTGGGTTCTAAATCTAATCACTTCATGTTGTAAAAAGATGCTGAGAAATGGGAACCCATAGAGCGTGGGGACAGGTGCTATGTGAGGATCACCTACAATTTAAAGAACCAAGGAACAGTGGGGGTTACCTACGAGTGGGGGGTGGCTCTGGTGACCTAGTCCATAGGGGCTGTAGTGCTAATCCGAAGGTGACACCTCTCTGGAGGTTCGAACCCACCAGCTGCTCCACCACAGAAGGATGGGCAACTTCCTCCTGTGTGATTTCCAGCTGAAAACCTGCTGGAGGCTCAGCTGTGAGTCCGCTTCAACCGGCAGGCAATGCGTTTAAGACAACAAGGAAGAAATTGAGATTGCTAAAACCTTGCCTGGACTTTTAAGCCTCTAGAACTATAAGGGTCTCAATTTCTATTCTTTAAATGCACCCACCGTGATATGTTACAGTAGCATTTTGTTGTTGTTAGGTCCCGGGGAGTCAATTTCTAAACCTTGCTGTTGCTGTTAGGTGCCGAGTCGAGTATGACTCAAAGAAACTCTATGAACAACAGATCTGAAACCTGTCCTAGCCTATGCCATCCCCGTCATCTCTGACTCAAGCCCATTGCTGTAATCACTGTGTCAATTCATCTTGTTGCGGGGTGTGTGTGTGTGTGTCTTCCTCTCCTTTGCTAACCCTGTACCTTTCCAAGCATGATGTCCTTTTCCAAGGAATAGCTTCTCCTAGCAATATGCTCAAAAGTATAAGAGTTCAAGCTTCACCATCTTTGCTCCCAAGAAGCATTCAGGCTGCACTTTTCCCAAGACGTATGTTTGTTCTGTTGGCAATTCATGGGATGTTTGGTACTTCAACACCATAATTCAAAGGCATCAGTTCTTCTTCTGTCATGTTTATTCATTGCCTAGCCCTTATATGCATGCCAAGTGACTGAAAAGACCATGGCCTGCATTAGGCACACTTTGGTCTTCAAGCTGACATCATTGCTCTTCAGTATTTTGGAGAGGTCTCTGACAGCAGACTAACCCAATACAATACATCTTCTGATCTCCTGACTGCTGGTACCAAGGGTGTTGATTATTGATTCAAGCAAGATGCAATCATTGACAAAGTCCGTCCTTTCTCCTAGCAGAGCAAATGGAAAGCCTGTCCTAGCCTGCACCATCGTCACAATTGCTGCCGCACTTAAGCTCGCTCTCGCTCTTGGTAATTCATCTCTCTGGTGGAGGGTATTCCCTTTCCCGATACCGAGTCCTAAGTAATGTGGAATCAGGTCTCCCTATGTTCACCTTTAAGAGGCACCCTGCTTACTGCATTGTTGTTATGTGTCATAAGAACATATGTATTGGAACCACCTCATAGCGGACCCTCCAGAAGGCTTTCAGAGGCTGTAAGTCACAGGAGAGGAGACTGCCCATCTTTCTCCGGCAGAGAGGCTGGCTGCTGGATTCCAACTGCTCGCCTTTGGGTTGCTAGGGCAACGGCTTACAGCTAGACCATAAGGTAGTAACATTGGGTAACTAAAATAAGCACCTAACTAGGAATCCTGTCTTAAATTAGCTACTTTCCTTGTATGAGCTGAAGGGGGGGAGGGGCGCAAGGAGAGGTGATGAAGATTAGCTCAGAGTGGAGGATTCTAGGAGATTCTGATGCTGCTGGTGCTCAGGGCTGCTGTTCCCAGGTAGACTCAGCTTGAGGCTGGAGGAGGGACTTCTTTATCCTTGCCTGAAGGGTTGGGAAGTGTGGCCAGTGTGTGAAGGCACATGATAGCTCCTGCAGTGTGAAATAAATGGATGTCATTATTAGGTGCTGTCAAGCTGAGGCCGACTCATAGACCAGCTGACCTGAACTCTGCCTTACCCTGTGCCAGCCTCATCATCTCTGACTCGCTAGATTGTGTCAATCTGTCTCATTGGAGGTCTTCTTTGATGACCCTCCCCAAAGCATGCTGTCCCTTTTCAGGAATAGTCTCTCCAACTAAATGCCCAAAGTATGAAAGTATGAGAGGATTGAGATAGTTAACAGTTTTCATTTACTTGGCTCAACAGTCAACACTCTTGGTAACAGAAGCCAGGAAATCAGGAGACGAATTGCATTGGGAAAGTCAGCTGTGAGGAACCTCTCAAGAGTACTGAAGAGCAACGACGTCAGGCTGGAGACTACGGTGCACCTGATTCAGGCTATAGTCTTCGCAATTACGTGCTATGCATCAGAGAGTTGGACAGTCACTGGGGATGATGGAAAGAGAATTGATGCCATTGAGCTGTGGTGCTGGAGAAGAGTGTTGAATATACCATAGACAAACAGGTTTGTCCTGGAGAGGGTGAAGCCGGAATGCTCCTTGGAGTCAAGGATTCTGAAGCTCTGTCTAACATACTTTGGGCATGTTGCAAGAAGGGACTGGTCCTTGGAGAGGGACATCATGTTTGGGAGAGTGGAGGGACGGCGCAGGGGAGGAAGACCGTCGATGAGATGGATCGATTCTGTGATTGAGGTGGTGGCAATGAGTGTGTCGGAGACGGTGAGGTTGGCACAGGACAGAGCAGGGTTTAGGGCTGTTGTACACAGCGTCGCTATGAGTCACAAGCGACTCAATGGCACATAACAACAACAACAACATGAAAGTCGAAGGGGGTTGTTGTTGTTCTGAAGTTCTCCTAGGGCCCCCACCCATAGCGGGTCTCTCAGACCAGCAAAAGGTCAGCACCAGTACGCACTAAACACTAAGCTTGTGAAGGATGGAAGGAGCAGGCGAGTGAGAGTAAGAGGCCAAGCAGCACCCTCTTGTGGTGCTTTTAGCCGAGCAATCCTCTGGGAGAGAAGTCCTCGTTTTGCCCCGTGTTGGACAGCACAAAGAATTCCCAGCCCTCTATTTGAGAGCTGGGATCCCGGGAGGGTAAGGGGCTCCTGGGGGGGGGGGGTGTCTCCTGATAATCTGCTAAGAGGAGGGTTTCAAGGCGCGATCTGGAGCTGGAGACCGCGGGAGGACCTACCTCGGAGCAGCGCTTGCAGAGCAAGCACCCTGCTTTTACTTTGTGTGAGTGTGGGTTTGGGGTGGCGAGGAGCAGGCTCGGTGTGGACTCCGGCTGGGCTGGAGTACTAGCACCGGATGGGCGGACCCCGGCCCCTCGCCCTCACTGCCTGGTGCAGGGCGTCTCCCAGCGGGACGCGGAGACCTGACACTCGGTGCTCCCCTGGACCTCCCGGGGTCCACCCATAGACAGGGCGCTCAGGGGTTTGAGCTGAGGCCAGGCCACGTCCACCCCGTAGAACCCCCCAGTGCCAGAGGGGAGCCGATGGCTCTGGTCAGGTGGATGTGGGCAGGGTTTCCGGAGGTGGCTCCCCGGGGCGGGGCGTCAAATCCGTGAATTCGATCTGGAGAGCTGTGCTGGTGTCCCCAAGACTCAGCTCCGAGATGTCAGTGTACAAGCGGGTGGCGAAGGTAACTGCATGGGGGACGCCCCTTCTCTCTGACCCCCAGGCCCGCCCTGTTCCCTCTTCCCTCCATCTGTTCCCTCGCTGGCATCCCTTCGTCTGGGTACTTGGGGCAGGGGTGACCCTGCCCTTCCCAGGGGAAGAGAGGGTCAATGAGAGGGTAGGTCAATGGGGTGGTAGGGTGAAAGCAATGCAGAGTGGGGTGCCCTGCACCCCACCCCCACCCTCCCACCCCCAGCTGGGCTGGGATAAGCTGACTGCAGGTTCTCCTGCCAATTGGTTTCAGTTTCACTTCTCAGGAAAGAAACTTGTGATAACAGTTTTGAGGCTCTGTAAGTGCGGAAAAGAAGCCTGTTGATGCAGAGTAAGCCCTCCCCTAGGAAGGAGGGTGGGACGTCTGCTTCCGCACTGGAGAGCCAAGGGGCACTTCTTCCTGCTGCGTCCTAGGGCTTGGAACGCACTAGACAGCAGTGAGTTTGGCTTAAATTGCAAGAAGAGTTTCTTGGCGTGTTGATGGTTGGCAGGGTTAGGACAGAGATTAGGGAACAAAGGCCTTAGCTTGGTATAGTCTGTGCCATCTTCCTGTCCTCAGGCGGATGAATGCTTGAACTAGCGTCCAAAGCAGCATGAGATGCTGACCAGGAGAAGAGGCAAAGCAGAGTTCCTTGGACACTCTCAGGAGAAAGATGAGAGGCAGAATGGAATTCCCCTCAAATTGTGGTTTCATTTCCTTATCCGAAGCCGTGGCCCCACTCTGGGTGATAGGAGGCAGAAGTGAACAAATACCTCATTCCTGCCCTCAGTGGACCTTCCTTCTAATCAGAGACACAACTAGAGATGAGGTCTGGTTGATGGGGAGAGGGTAGAGTCTCCCAGGAGCTGGAAAAACTCAGGAGCTGGGGGAGGCGATGCGAACCAAGTGGTTCTGAGCACCCCCCAGGCTTTGGGTCTCTCCACAGGGTCCTTGTAATCTGCAGAATGGAAGGGAGGGATTAAAGGAGGGTGTCTGGTGCCCCCAGCCCCAAAGGAAAGAAGAAGATGGTCTTGGGCTGGAGCACTCAAAGGAGGCTCAGTCCATAGTAGCTGAAATGTGAAGGTGACTGTGAAGTGGGAAAGAGATGGGAGCCAGTGTTCATCACCTATGAACGCGCACAGCTGTTAACAGAAAGACTGTCAGTTTGAATCCACCCAGATCACCTTGAGCAGTCTGGCGATCTGCTTCCAATATCAGCCTACGGAGGACAGTTGTGCTCTGATACACAGAGGGTTGCAATTGATTAGAAGCAACTCATTTTAATGATCACACTGACGTCCCTAAATGCCAGGGAATTTACGTGCATTCTTTCCTCACATTCTCCTGGAATTCTTTCCTCACATTCTCCTGGCAACGCTGTGCTCCTGTTTTACAGATGTGGAAACTGAGGCTTGGATAAAATGACTTGTTTGTTGACAGTCACTCAAGAAAGAAGAGGTGGGGCTGGAATTTGAGCCGGGTCCTTTGGACTGCACAGATAAGCTCTTTCACAGGCCACTCTGCTTTCGTTTTTGATTCCTCTAAATCAGGCAGTTTCCTACAGGCCACAAGAGTCCACAATTAAGGTTGCATAGTGGAATGTGGTACGGGGGGGATTGTGTACCAAGGAGGGAGTCTTTCTTTTACTTTTGAAAGAGAGGAGCAAAC